ATATAGTCCCTCTGTCTCCCTTATGTTTTAATTCTATTTTACATTACGTAAGATAACTTGCCAGTAATTGATCCTTCTGAAAATAGGATAAAGAAGATGAAACTTGTGGAAGTTAAGACGAATTGTGAAAATTAACACAGAGGATCAAATCTATGTCTAAGGACCATGCCTTTCAATGAGATCAGCAGTGGTTCTGGGTTGAACTGATGGCTATGAAAGACATCATAATTTAGCACATTCATCATGTAGAAACATAAGGTATTTAGGTGTAAAACCAAGGGCAGACATGAATAATATTAGATAAATAAAACTACTAAACCTGCTATTTTCATAGTCACTGCATCTGCAACAAACACAATACCCTTTAACCCGAGTTGGCCGGGTGTCCCAATACTTTTGTCCATGTAGTGTACATGTTACCCAGGAAAACTACAGCATTCTGATTTCTGAGCAAGAACCTAAATGTCTGTGCTAGTGCTCGGTACAAACTAACAGGGGAGGTATTCACCCTGAATACAATCCAATGATGATTGGACTTTCTTTTTTCCATTGTCTTCTATTTGATTTCAATTTTATCTTTTGATGCGCTCACAGGATGATTAGCAACTGGTGTAATTACACAATTCCACCTTTGTAATTTGTTTATTCTATACTCCCCCTTCTTCTCTTGGGTAACAGCCTTCTGTACCTTAAATTCCTTAAAAACAGGTGCTATCAGCATGATGGTACCCCATTATTAATGTAAACCTTTTATTTTTCATCAGTAATGACTTGTCAATTTTTTATTATCCCTTGTCCACTCATTTGTATTTTCCCTCTGATTGAAGTTAATGTGTATTCCAAATTTATTCCAAAATAAACTTTGTATACTAAAATGGAGCCTATTTTTTTCACAAACTTGGTTAGGATTTCCCCATTTTAATGGAATTTAGAGAAATTATTTACCTCCTTTATGATACCCATTGTTTTCTAGATTATTTTTAGCCTTAATAAACACGCCATCATTTTAGTACCCACTGTAGGTACAAATATATGTATATTACTGATTTCAGTATAGATCCAACCATCTTGTGTAAGAGACAATATTTATCAATTCCATCTTCCGTAGCACTATTCCAAATTTTAATATTTTTCTTATTAATCCATTATTAAATGCTGGATAAAAAAAATATATATATATATATATATTAAAGAATATAATGTAAATCTGTGTAGATTAGGCGCTTAAATCTATTGGGTGAACAAGTGAATATAAAGGCTGCTAACACACTATAATAGGGACTCTCCACCCTACTTCCAATAGATATAAAAAAGTGCACTATAAAACCAACCGGTATACAGAGCAAAGTGTGTAGCGCTAGATAGAGTCAGCACTTACCCCTAAGGGTTAACAATGTTATATAATGAGTTCCCTACAAGGGGATGAAACAAACAATATATAGTGTAATATATTAGAAAGATAATAATGTGAATATTCCCAATAATGGATCCACTCACATGGTACAGAGCCACTTGAGGACCGGCTCTGATCTCTTCCACTTATGTGTACTTAAAGGTGACACACACCTATAGCATCCATGTCAGATGTAAACCTCAAACAGAAAAAAGGGGAGAAGCTTCTTTGGTGCAGAAATCCCAAACAGAGTGATTGTAAATGAAATAAAATAAGGCTTCTCACCTTGTCCAGAGCCTTGAACCAGGCTCTGAGTAGAAATAGCAGATGTGGCAATATAGGGTGTCACTATCCTTCTTTAAAGCAGCATGGACAATTCTTGAAGATTAAAAAATTAACAGATATTTATTATAAATGAAAATATATAAAATAACAGACCAAATATAAAGTCTTGTTGTCCGAGACGCGTTTCGCTGATCCTCAGCTTTCTCAATCGGTGCCGTCCATGCCGCCGGTCTTCTTTTTTATTTACTTCCTGGATAGGAGAAGTTGGGGCTGCCTCATCCGTGATACTGCCAACCACGGACAACGTCAGGCGCATGCGTAGTACTGCGTGTTCTAACCTTTCGTGACGTCATCGCGCACAACGTAGCGTGCGCGCGACGTCACTTCCGGTTCCACGAGATATCGTCCTCATAGCTGTTTCCCATAGTCCATACGTATTCTCTTAACTTTGCCTCGTTTTGTTTCCGCCATTACAGTTCAGGGCAAGGTGTGGGCACAGGAGAATGAAAAGCCTCTATTCTTATTAGGCTGTATTCCACACCAATTAACCCTATAAAGCCATACTCGAAAAGGAGTATACACATAAAAAGAAAATATATAAAAAGATCAAAATTCCATCAGTCTTTCTAAAAAGCACATCAAATATAAAAAACACATCAATTGTAAAAAATACAATATAACTCAATCATATGTCTTAATGACGATATACAGTATCAATAATATCTTAAAATTGCAGGAAAAAATATATAATATGGCATTAAAAAATATGGCATTAAAAAAAATGTATATATGGAATGTCTAATCCAAATAAAATCTAACTTTTATAAATAATAGCTATTATAAAAAATGACATAGCTCAAAGTCGTCATTAAGTCCATATGGTTGCATAGTGTTTAAATTGAAAATCCATTGCATCTCTGTTTGCCCTATATGTTTCAACAGATCTCCACCTCTCCAATTCACAACAATTTTTTGAATTCCTATAAAATTCATTAGATGGGGATCACAATTATGTTTTTCTTTAAAATGCAGTGAAACGCTATGCTTTTCAAACCCTTTTTTGATGTTTCGTACGTGTTCTTGTATCCTGGTGTTTAATGTCCTGATGGTTCTGCCTATATAGGCTAGTCCACAGGGGCAAGTAATCATGTAGATAACTTTATTTGAATGACAAGTGATCATTTGTTTGATCTTAAATTGTTTAACTACATTCCCTGGAGGATTAAATTCTTTTATGTGGCATTTTATATTGTTGGTGCCTTTACAGGCTCCACATGTGCCGCAACCGTAAAATCCATATGATTGGTTAAGGAAATGTTTTGTTTGCTGTTTAGGTGGTATATGATTATGTGTCAAACTGCTCTTTAGATTGCGTACTCCCCTATACGTAATGGTAGGTTTTTCCGGAAGAATAGAGTTAAGCATAGGGTCACCCATTAGAATAGACCAATGTGTTTGTATGATTTTTTTCAAACGTCTATTATTACTGTTGAAATCGCAAATAAAATTCAAATTCTGGAATTCTGGATCTATTTTTTTATCTTTATATTTAATTAATTCATTCCTATCAATACCATCAACCTCTATATATGCTTTCTCTAGAAGTTCCTTCTTATATCCTTTTTCACTAAAATCATTGATAATTCTAACGGATTGTTCCCTAAATTTATCTTCTTCAGTACAATTCCGTTTAATCCATAAAAGTTGTGTCTTAGGTGCATTTAGCAGCCAAGGTGAAAAGTGGCAGCTATTTTCACATATATAGCTGTTTACGTCTACTTTCTTAAAAAAAGTGCAAGTTTTCAGTATGTTTCCCTCTATATATATATTAAGGTCCAGGAACTCAACCGAAGTTTTACTAAAATTACAGGTGAGGCGAATACCCCAATCATTAGTATTTAAATGGTTTAAAAAACAATTTAAGGAATCCTCGTCTCCTCTCCAAATAAAAAATATATCATCAATGTAACGGCGATAGGTAACGAGGCCCGCAGCCCACCTGTCATCGTCATGGATAAACTCTTGCTCCCAGAGTGCCATGAACAGATTTGCGTAACTGGGCGCGAACCTCGTTCCCATCGCCGTTCCACATGTTTGGAGATAAAACTGCTCCTCAAACCAAAAATAGTTGTTTGTGAGGATCCATTTTATACCTTCAATTATAAAATTGATTTGTTTATCAGAGAATTTCTGTGATTTTTCTAAAAAGAATTTGGTGGCTCTGCAACCCATGTCATGGGAAATTATCGTATATAGAGAACTGACATCGGCTGTCACGAGATAATAATTATCATCCCATGTAATGTCTTGTAAAATTTGTAATATATGAATAGTATCACGTAAATAACTAGGGCTGGAACTTACAATAGTCTGTAAACATTTATCGATATACTGGGATAATTTACTAGAGATAGACCCAATCCCTGAGACAATAGGTCTCCCGGGTGGTCTATCTTTATCCTTATGTATCTTCGGGAGGTAGTAGAATACTGGAATTTTCGGGTGTTGTACATTGAGGAATTTAAATTCCCGCTGGTTTAAAACTTCTAGTGTTTTACCTTTTTCAATAAGAGTGTTGTAACTAATGGTGATGTCCTTAGTGGGATCTTTCGATAGGATTTGATATGTGTTACGGTCATTTAGTAATTTTAAAGATTCTTTTACATATTCCTCTATATCTAGGATGACTATACCTCCTCCCTTGTCTGCCGGTTTGATCACTATGGTGTGGTCTTCTCTTAATTCTCTTAGTGCTGTTCTTTCTTTAAAACTTAAATTATTATTTTTAGATTTTTTGACTTTTTGTATATCCCTCATAACCATTTTTTCAAAGGTTATCATCTCGTTTGAGATGCAGCCCTTTGGGAAGAATGTGGACTTCGCCTTTAAATCTGTATGTACAATATCTCCCTCTTGATTCATCTCTTGTGTCCTAGTTAATGGTGTCTTCATAAAGAATTTTTTAATGCATAGTTTTCTCTTGAACCTATTCAAATCTAAATATACGCTAAATTTATCAAGTGGTTTTGTGGGTGCGAACTTCAATCCTTTCTGTAACAATTCTATTTGTGATGGAGTTAATTCTCGTTTGGAAAGGTTGAAAATCCCATTTTCCTTGGATATTTGTCCCTCCTTTCTTTTTTGTATATGTATCCCTCCTCTAACTCCCCTTCTTCTAAACTTCGTCTTCTCTTTCCTGGGGACATATGGTGTAATAGAAATTAAGAAAAGAAAATATCAGAGAGATAAAGAAGACTATGCAAGGGGGGAAGTTAGAACATATATAAAGAGAAACAATAGATTCCAGACAAACAAGGGTCAAATGTCAAATGACTGGGACAACAGCCAATACTATCGTCATTATCGTAGGGGGAGAAACAATAGTCCTACAGCCAGGAGAACACCATTACGTAATAAACATCCAAAAGATTATAGAAGAGAGAGGTCACAGGAAGGTCCATCACAAAGACCAAAACCTCCTGTTAATACTCAACCACAATGGGAGAAAGTAGTAAGGAGGAAACAATCAAGATCCCCAACTAGACAAAAAGAGAGATCACCAAGATCTAATCTAATGATAAAGAGCACTCAAAATATGGATACACATAGAAATAAATATAAAGATAGGGAAAACCCTACACACAATAGATTTTTACCATTGACAACATTTACCAATGATGAGGATTTTTGGGATGGCCACATGAAGGGACGTCACAAGGACTCCCCTATGCACCATATGTCCCCAGGAAAGAGAAGACGAAGTTTAGAAGAAGGGGAGTTAGAGGAGGGATACATATACAAAAAAGAAAGGAGGGACAAATATCCAAGGAAAATGGGATTTTCAACCTTTCCAAACGAGAATTAACTCCATCACAAATAGAATTGTTACAGAAAGGATTGAAGTTCGCACCCACAAAACCACTTGATAAATTTAGCGTATATTTAGATTTGAATAGGTTCAAGAGAAAACTATGCATTAAAAAATTCTTTATGAAGACACCATTAACTAGGACACAAGAGATGAATCAAGAGGGAGATATTGTACATACGGATTTAAAGGCGAAGTCCACATTCTTCCCAAAGGGCTGCATCTCAAACGAGATGATAACCTTTGAAAAAATGGTTATGAGGGATATACAAAAAGTCAAAAAATCTAAAAATAATAATTTAAGTTTTAAAGAAAGAACAGCACTAAGAGAATTAAGAGAAGACCACACCATAGTGATCAAACCGGCAGACAAGGGAGGAGGTATAGTCATCCTAGATATAGAGGAATATGTAAAAGAATCTTTAAAATTACTAAATGACCGTAACACATATCAAATCCTATCGAAAGATCCCACTAAGGACATCACCATTAGTTACAACACTCTTATTGAAAAAGGTAAAACACTAGAAGTTTTAAACCAGCGGGAATTTAAATTCCTCAATGTACAACACCCGAAAATTCCAGTATTCTACTACCTCCCGAAGATACATAAGGATAAAGATAGACCACCCGGGAGACCTATTGTCTCAGGGATTGGGTCTATCTCTAGTAAATTATCCCAGTATATCGATAAATGTTTACAGACTATTGTAAGTTCCAGCCCTAGTTATTTACGTGATACTATTCATATATTACAAATTTTACAAGACATTACATGGGATGATAATTATTATCGCGTGACAGCCGATGTCAGTTCTCTATATACGATAATTTCCCATGACATGGGTTGCAGAGCCACCAAATTCTTTTTAGAAAAATCACAGAAATTCTCTGATAAACAAATCAATTTTATAATTGAAGGTATAAAATGGATCCTCACAAACAACTATTTTTGGTTTGAGGAGCAGTTTTATCTCCAAACATGTGGAACGGCGATGGGAACGAGGTTCGCGCCCAGTTACGCAAATCTGTTCATGGCACTCTGGGAGCAAGAGTTTATCCATGACGATGACAGGTGGGCTGCGGGCCTCGTTACCTATCGCCGTTACATTGATGATATATTTTTTATTTGGAGAGGAGACGAGGATTCCTTAAATTGTTTTTTAAACCATTTAAATACTAATGATTGGGGTATTCGCCTCACCTGTAATTTTAGTAAAACTTCGGTTGAGTTCCTGGACCTTAATATATATATAGAGGGAAACATACTGAAAACTTGCACTTTTTTTAAGAAAGTAGACGTAAACAGCTATATATGTGAAAATAGCTGCCACTTTTCACCTTGGCTGCTAAATGCACCTAAGGCACAACTTTTACGGATTAAACGGAATTGTACTGAAGAAGATAAATTTAGGGAACAATCCGTTAGAATTATCAATGATTTTAGTGAAAAAGGATATAAGAAGGAACTTCTAGAGAAAGCATATATAGAGGTTGATGGTATTGATAGGAATGAATTAATTAAATATAAAGATAAAAAAATTGATCCAGAATTCCAGAATTTGAATTTTATTTGCGATTTCAACAGTAATAATAGACGTTTGAAAAAAATCATACAAACACATTGGTCTATTCTATTGGGTGACCCTATGCTTAACTCTATTCTTCCGGAAAAACCTACCATTACGTATAGGGGAGTACGCAATCTAAAGAGCAGTTTGACACATAATCATATACCACCTAAACAGCAAACAAAACATTTCCTTAACCAATCATATGGATTTTACGGTTGCGGCACATGTGGAGCCTGTAAAGGCACCAACAGTATAAAATGCCACATAAAAGAATTTAATCCTCCAGGGAATGTAGTTAAACAATTTAAGATCAAACAAATGATCACTTGTCATTCAAATAAAGTTATCTACATGATTACTTGCCCCTGTGGACTAGCCTATATAGGCAGAACCATCAGGACATTAAACACCAGGATACAAGAACACGTACGAAACATCAAAAAAGGGTTTGAAAAGCATAGCGTTTCACTGCATTTTAAAGAAAAACATAATTGTGATCCCCATCTAATGAATTTTATAGGAATTCAAAAAATTGTTGTGAATTGGAGAGGTGGAGATCTGTTGAAACATATAGGGCAAACAGAGATGCAATGGATTTTCAATTTAAACACTATGCAACCATATGGACTTAATGACGACTTTGAGCTATGTCATTTTTTATAATAGCTATTATTTATAAAAGTTAGATTTTATTTGGATTAGACATTCCATATATACATTTTTTAATGCCATATTTTTTAATGCCATATTATATATTTTTTCCTGCAATTTTAAGATATTATTGATACTGTATATCGTCATTAAGACATATGATTGAGTTATATTGTATTTTTTACAATTGATGTGTTTTTTTATATTTGATGTGCTTTTTAGAAAGACTGATGGAATTTTGATCTTTTTATATATTTTCTTTTTATGTGTATACTCCTTTTCGAGTATGGCTTTATAGGGTTAATTGGTGTGGAATACAGCCTAATAAGAATAGAGGCTTTTCATTCTCCTGTGCCCACACCTTGCCCTGAACTGTAATGGCGGAAACAAAACGAGGCAAAGTTAAGAGAATACGGATGGACTATGGGAAACAGCTATGAGGACGATATCTCGTGGAACCGGAAGTGACGTCGCGCGCACGCTACGTTGTGCGCGATGACGTCACGAAAGGTTAGAACACGCAGTACTACGCATGCGCCTGACGTTGTCCGTGGTTGGCAGTATCACGGATGAGGCAGCCCCAACTTCTCCTATCCAGGAAGTAAATAAAAAAGAAGACCGGCGGCATGGACGGCACCGATTGAGAAAGCTGAGGATCAGCGAAACGCGTCTCGGACAACAAGACTTTATATTTGGTCTGTTATTTTATATATTTTCATTTATAATAAATATCTGTTAATTTTTTAATCTTCAAGAATTGTCCATGCTGCTTTAAAGAAGGGTAGTGACACCCTATATTGCCACATCTGCTATTTCTACTCAGAGCCTGGTTCAAGGCTCTGGACAAGGTGAGAAGCCTTATTTTATTTCATTTACAATCACTCTGTTTGGGATTTCTGCACCAAAGAAGCTTCTCCCCTTTTTTCTGTTTGAGGTTTACATCTGACATGGATGCTATAGGTGTGTGTCACCTTTAAGTACACATAAGTGGAAGAGATCAGAGCCGGTCCTCAAGTGGCTCTGTACCATGTGAGTGGATCCATTATTGGGAATATTCACATTATTATCTTTCTAATATACTACACTATATATTGTTTGTTTCATCCCCTTGTAGGGAACTCATTATATAACATTGTTAACCCTTAGGGGTAAGTGCTGACTCTATCTAGTGCTACACGCTTTGCTCTGTATACCGGTTGGTTTTATAGTGCACTTTTTTATATATATATATATATATATATATTAGCCTCATTTGTCTATTCATGCACCCTGATCTACTCGTTAATATTATATTTCATTAATATTACAATATTATATATAACTTGCATTGTTTTTTGTGTGTGTGTTTTGTGTTGCGTACCAATGTTTATTATACAAGGTTATACTTGATATCTGATTTTCACATTTTAATAATGCAAATTTCTATAAAAACTTTACATTTAGAATTTCTAAAAAATTTAAATCCTATTTTTTTTATTTAGGAAGCCTGTACACTTTGAATAAGGATGAATTCACAATTTTTAAAATATAGATTAATTTAAATCTACTATGCTGGACAATCTGAACCCAGTCATTTGCTAAATTCAAATACTATAATTTTTAGTATTTTATTCGAGTCCTATATGTTCTGTGTTATTGAAATCCTGGGTACCATGCTTATTTATGACCAAAGGAAGATAATTAAATGTCAGATGATTGAAAGCAACTCCAGATGTTCTTTCAACTTTTGTAACCTTTCGTCCAATATATTTTCTTCATTTAGGCATAAAATACTAATTCTGTCAGATTTCCTCTATTGTATTTTTTTAATACTTTAGACATTTGACATCTGCTTTTTTTCCCAGCTGGATTTTAGATATTTCCGGATCAACCTCTCAAAATATTCATGCATAATCAGTTTGTTTCCAAACTCCAAATACATAAGTGGTTAAACACGAATGCATTTAAACAGTGGCTTACTTATTAAATAGTGATTTTATTGAATAGTCATGAGTTGATAACCAAGCTGCAAAATTTTGGTGAAAAGACTAGCCTATATTGGCTGACTTAAATGTAACTTTGAATTTACCACAAGTCATTGCTTGATGAATAAACACATTTGGTATACTGAAGTAAAACATATTGATAATAATTGTGGTACATCAGTCTTTTTCATTTTAACTAGTGATTGTAGATAAATTGTATATATGTTTGAAGATCTGCTTCATGTCTAATCAGATTCAGGGAAAAAATGTGTAGCTAATAGACATAAGCATTAATATTTGAAAGAATGAAAAAATTACCAAAAATTTAGCTTTTCGATCATTCAGTCAGAATCTGAAAGCGAATGCATCATTGACAACATTGGTGTGTCCCAATACTTTTGTTCATATAGTGTATGTTTTATACCAATGGTTCCCAACCTTTTTTCACTTGTGTACACCTTGGCAGCCCATTCCCATAAATTGTACCCCTATTAGCAAAATATTTGTAATGAATAAGGTTACTTTAATTAATATTTGTATATTTTTTGTGCCCCATCTTCCCTTTTTCTCTGCCCTTAGCTCCCCTGCTTCTCCTCTGCCCATGCTCCGGTGCTCGTCCTAACCCAGGCTCCCCTGGTTCTCTTTTCCCCAGGTGTATGTGTGTGTATACAGATGACATCCATGCAGATACACAGATGCGCACACACACACACACACACACACACACACTGACACACATTCAGATACAAACATTGATACACATGTGGATGCACAGATAGAAAAACTGGCATATATACAGATACAGACA